CGCCATGAATGTAGCATCTTAACCTGAACTCGCCACGCCGTTTTGTATGGCCTAACATCCTTGAGGAAAGCAAATGACGCTGCCATTTCAATGAGTCGTGGTATTTTTGATTGTGAGAGTGATTTGGTTTTCTTTTCAAAGCGTCATATATATAGTAGAGCATAGAGTAGGTTTGGTTGTTAAGATCGTATTTGAAAGATGAATATAGGATTTTTATAAAAAGCGAAATCTGTGGAATATACGAATCAAAGTTGATTTGATTCTTTTGTTTTGATATTTTAAGTTTCTATAAATAAACAAAATCAGTTGAATCCGATAGCAATCTAGCTATATCTTCGGTGATATTTAATTGTGTTAGACATTTTGTCGATTTAAAATTGATTCTCCTAAATCATAGCAACACGGTTTATGGTTTAATCATTGCCGATTTTGTGGAGATATTGGTGTAACAAATCATGTTGGTTTTTGTTTTTTGGTAAATGTTTTCAGTCTAAATGAATTAAATGGCAATGGCATTGGTTGTAAATACTGTTCAAACCCAGGAATTATTTCAAAACATGTCCCAAAAATGTTAATATAGATGGATTCAAGCTAAAGGTAGAATTCTATCAAATCCATCTACATATATTAACTAAAAAGACTATTTTGGTCTAAGAAAATGTACAATTCAATTATATTAGTTGTTAATTTGAATAGAAAATATAATATCCAATAATTATTATTATTTTTAATTTTAAAAGTTATAAATTAAATAAATTCTATCATCAAATCTATCTTAAAAAACACTATATAGGGTCTAAGACCATCTCCATTAGTAATTAAGAACCCATCATGGATTCTTACCTATTTATTTTAAATAAATTTTAAATAATTAAAAGTTGAAAAATTTATTAGGGGTTCTCAGTTCTATCTAAAACAAAAAAAAATACTATCTAGTGTCTAAACTCTAAATTCATTGGGTTGCATCTGGAGTGTCCACGTCACCTAATCAAATATCAAAGCCTGCATGGAAAGTAAAAAAATGAATAAACAAGTTCTTCCACTTAATTATAGTGCAAATTCCCTCAATCGATCGGTTCGATTCTTAGAAAATAAACACAGATCTAACTTGGGCCTAGCCAATAACCTTTTCTAATCATCCAAGATCCAACAACAAATTTGTATATATCAATCCACCAAAATTAGATCCATATCACTTACCCCTTCTTCGTATCTTTAGAAAATAAATAGGTTTCTTTGTACACTCAGCTTACAACATATACAAAAATTACGTTAACTGAATTAAAAATTCTCATCTTTCTCTTTTTTTTGTTTTTTACCTCGACGTAATTGTACAAATTAGAGTGACATAATTGGGAATTATTTAGCTGTATGAATTGTTTTCCTAATTTTAAAATTATATTTGACTCTTTGAGCATACGTATATGTTTATTTCTTTTTAACTTAACTTATATAGAAACTAAACTAAACAATGTCACTACCAAAAAAAAAAAAAACTAAACAATGTGAAACATATATGCTCGTTAAAGTCCAATTACGAGATATCCTAACATGGTTTAGTCTTTTGAGTATCGAAATGGGTAAAAGAACAGTTCGTGTATTTTGTGTGGGTGTGAAAAAGTTTGTATATGATTTTGATTAACATTACATTCATAAAAAACAATTGAGATATTAAAATTTATAAATGTAGATATATGAAAAAGAAATTACCTAAAAAGTAAAAATAATTCTGTATTAGATTAGACAAGTTGTTGTTTCATTCCCAATTTAGGCCCACTAGTAACCAACTACTCAATATGTCCCAACCTTACCCAACTCCTCAACTTCTTCATCATTTCATAATATATAGATTTTGATTGGTTTGTTGTAAGAAAGGCAAATTTCTTGTTCTCTAGGTTCATATATAAAAAATCATGTATCAAGTTACTCCGCTGATTTCATTGAAAGAGCACAAAAATTTTCACCTCCTAGGACCTAAATGCTATAACTTACAATTTCTCTTAGGTAATATACTAATATAGCTTATGTATTCACTTGCCATGAATGTTAAAGAGTAAGCAAAAGTGATCAACTTGTATTGGGAAAACATGATATTAAGTGGGTGAATTAGTCAAATGATAGTGCACAAAGTAAAGCCAAGAAAAAGGGGCCGAGGGTCCTCAACTCCTCATTACTTTTTCTTTACGATCCACCGACTCCTACTCGTGTCTTTTGGCAAGAATTCACTGTTACTGTCGCTGAAAAAAGTTGTCTTCTTAGAGGAGACTAATCAAGATCTGTGGGTAACCAAATCCTAATCACTGTACTCTCATCAACCTCACATCATTTCATATCTTAAAGTCTCTTTCTCACACTTTCTTTTCTTCTCTCATGAGGGAGTAGGGTCATTGTGATGGCCAGTGGCCAGCTTTTTACTAGTCACAAGCTAATTCTCGCGGTTAACCTAAAAACTATACAAATAATAATACCAAGATCACATAATTACCAATCCCATGATGGACCACTTAGACTACTCGTATGTTTTGGTATAGTTGTATAAGGTTAGCTTGCACTGCTAAATCATTTTTAAGAATAAACATGATGGACCCAATACTCCAAGATAAGAGATACAAAGAGAAGCGAACTCTTTCTATACATACTTGACTCTTGAATGAAATGTGATGAGTACATAAACGATCAAGGCAAGAGTCTTTGGTACTTGGTCTCTCTTTTGGAATCTGACTCGTCACAATGAACCCTCTTCCTGTTTAAGTTATTCCCGCAACTATCTTGTGACAATGGTGATGCTTCAGCAATAATCACTGGTGGGATATCAAAGGACTCAAGCTGTGGTGGTGGATGACGCCATTGTGGAAGCTGTCCAGCTAAAAGCAGAGTTTGAAGCAGAGGACCTGCCTTCACCACAGCCTTTAGAAGCTTCCCTTTCTCCGGCAATGCCATGTCCGGGAAATCTAACTCGATTTCCATCTGCGGTTCAAAAGATGAGACTATGCTTTCTTCGCCGTCGGATGAGTGGAAACCATTGATGTTCGGTTCTTGATCTTCTTCGGTTTGGCGTTGGAGGATGAAGTTTTGATCAAGAAGAAGCCTCTTGTATCTCTCTTGTGCTTCATCTCTCTCTTTGATAGCTTTGTTGAGAAGATCTTTAAGCTGCATTATCTGGTCGTCTTTTGTATTGAGTTCTTCATTAGCCACCATTCTTGTTTGCTCTAACTCCATAGTTGTTTGTAGAAGAGAATGTCTAAGCTCTTCCATTGTCTTCACACCAAAATAAACATCTAAGTTTTGAGCTAATCTATAAAACACAATAAGTAAAATGCTTAAAGAAGTATGTAGAGTTTACCTTTATACCACAATGGCCGTTTTGGTGAGACCAACCAAGTAGATAATTTTGCTGTTGTCTCTCCATTTTCCTCAATGAATCAATTCTAAAGAGAGAGTGAGTTATATAGTATATGACTTGTGAGAAGTGTATTGTTGTTGTCATAGTTATAAGCAAAAATATGGGATAATTAAGTGGGTAATATTTTTTTGGTAATGTGATTTGCTTTTAGATTAGTCACAACTCACAAGGGTGTTGGGACAAGACTCAAGAAAATGTCTGAAACCTTTCTTCCATCAAAGAGAATCTTTATTGACTTTTTTTTGTCCCTTTTTTGAGTTTTTGTTTATAACAAAGACAAAATTAAACAAACAAACAAAAAAAATAACGCGTTAACGGTAATTATGATTATTTTGGACAATATCTATCTTTATATTCCATGGTCTTCTTCGGCCTCGATTTGAGAGGAGAAGAGAATTTTTATGTTGCAATAAAGAAAGTACCAACTTTACTAGTAAAGCTACTACTATGTGTGATCATGTAAGAAAATATTGCTAGTGTCAAGATTTAAAATCAAAAAATTAATTTCCGGTATCATAAAAAGATCATGAAAGCAATATCTCACCGAGTAAACATGATTTTCACTAGCTAATTAGTGGGAATAATATATACTAAAGTATTAAAATACAATGTATTTATTCGTTTGTAAAGAAGCATAACATTCATCTTGTATACAGGACAAAATAAACTTGACCCATTTTTGTTTTAATTTTAAATATTTTTGGGATGAATAGTAAATTTAATTTCTTATATTTTTTTTTGTCCTATATAATAATTTATGGCAACCTCATCTAGATGTGCAATGAATGGGACCTAAGAAAAATCTTTAAAAAAATAGGTAAAAATAAAAATAGCTTTTCACGTCTATGAATTTATTATTTGCTATACATTCCCAAACATATATTCTCGGAAAGCTGACTCGATCACACTTGTCTACACGCACGTATTTTTCTTTTGCGCATTGTGAATTCACACGTACGTGTGTTCATATAAACTCATAAGTATGCTAAAGGTTTGAATTGTGATGATGATGTGAACATGGGTAGAGAAAAAAAGTTGGTCAGCAAAAGGAGGGAACCGATAACCTAATATCTACCTTTTTTTGTTTCTATTCACTGGTCTTAATTAATTCATTTTTATTGTATACAATATTTGTTGAATTTTATAGATTTTTAATTTACACCAAATTGCAAATGAGTTGAGTAATTCATATATTTTAGTATATAATTTAGGCTTCAAAAGATTTCTAACAAGAAATATAGTTTTCCAGACTTTTTTTCCTTCAAATTTCTAGTGTTATAGATAATAAAATACTATTACAATAGATAAAAGGTGCCAAAACAACAACGATTCTGAAGTGAACAAATCCGGTACAAAAACAATATAAAAACTACTTAGAAAGCATATAAACTCAAACAATATACATTATTTGAATTAATTTACATCGATCAATGACTTTATGTGGTAGTAATGTATACTGTCATATTTGAATTAAAGTACTTCATCTGTTTCACAAAAATTGTTATTTTAGCATTTTCACACCAACCGAAAAAAAAAAAAAAATTTCATTTTTACCCTTAATTAATATATCACATAATCCACTCTCTACCTAATAAACTGAAATAATAAGGATCAAAAAATATTAAGTCACTAAAACTACATTAAAAACATAAAACGATACTCTTTGTAACACAAAATTAAAACTTTAAAACGACACTTTTTGTTAAATGGAGCATGGAGCATGGAGCAAGTGTACTAGTCTGCAACACCACATTTCAAAAGGTAACGAATGAATATTTACGGTCTCCGACTGGAAAACTTAAGACATGCGAGAGACCAGAGGGTCGGGGCGAAATTAAATAGTCATAGTCTAATCCTAAAGTAGTCTAAAGCATCAATACTTTAATCGATCACTAGATTATGTTACACAAAAATTAGAAGCCAGAGTAATAATATTAGACAATTGATGTTGGATTTGAAAGAATAATATTTTTGTAGCAACCAAAGCCTTTATGTCCCATCCCAACGGTGTCCATTATGATTATGATGCTATAAGCGGAAAATATGTCTTTTTATTTTACCTTTATGGCTGGCTATATGCCTATATCTATATTATTATTAATTTTTAATTTTTAATTATACGAAAGATAATTAACTTAAAAACTTTTAATTAGCTTAAATATTATTATTAATATTATTTAAATTGTGTAGAAAGTTTAAAATACTATAAATATTTAAAATTTATAAAAGATCATTTACCTCAACACTATATATAACCTCTACAAATTAATATTCGATAAATTAAAATATCTTTTGATTTGAGCTTAAAAATTTTAGAACATTAATTTTAGTAAAGAAAAATAATCTAATATGGTGATAGCAAATCAAGTTCAAGATTGATAGTCACCTTGAGCGACATATGTATAAACAATTTGCGAGAAACTCGTCAGAGACATCTTGGTTAGTATGGTATTTGAGGTTGCACAGCAAAATATGAGTTTAAAGCAACCATGACAATTCATCTTCAATTATCGCATAATATAAAAGCAAATACTTTAAATAGGATTTTGAAACCGGCAAAAAAAAACAAAGGATTTTGAAAACTATTAACGGCAGCTACATTTACTACAAAAAAATATGTTCATTCAAAAAATCAACTTTGTTCTCTATATGAATTCTTTATAAATATTTACTGATATTTATCATTAATCTGTTCATTCAAAAAATGAAAAAAAAATATAAATATATCCCAATTAATATAGACTTAATTACCATCGGTTATACAAAAGAAAAAAATAATAATATGAACTTAGATCATAACTGAGCTATGATTACTCTTCTTACTTACGTGTTATATGAAATTGGTCATGCTTAAGTGTTATATGAAATATATTTGTACAAGTTTGGAATAATCATGGTATGAAAGAAAAAAATCAATACTAAATACTTTTATATTTTCTTAAAGAAAATAAATAAGCATAGTTTGTTGCTATATTTTCTTTTCATATATTTAAAACTCTAATAGGCATAACATATTTTATTTGGTAAATAGCAATATATCTTAGATTTGATATAGAAAACAAAGTTGATCCTTATAGAATTATAAGATATTAGTCTTCAATATTTTGACACACGTAAACTAAGATTGAGTTGCATCAATTATGTTCAACCAGTATCAATGAAATGATGAAATGCATTTTTTAAATTTTAATTGAATATGTATTAGGTTAGTATCAGTTTATTATTGATATATCAATTTTGTACCATTCATCTAATTGTTACTTAATTTGTATGATTGTATCATTATTTTAACTATTGTGAATTATATTTTGTGTCAGAATGTTTTTGAAGTGCTGGAAACTGAAATTTTTTTGTCACTTTCATTGAACCGATATATCAATTGTTATAACTGATGCTAAACCACATATTTTGTATCATTTATTAATTAAATTAATATTATTTATTTTTGTGATACTATTTAAGTGATGCAACCAACCACTTTTCTTATAGTGATTTAACCTTTAGGGTTAGCTATTGCAACCAACAATTTTTCTTATAGTTATTTAGGCTTTCTTTGGTTTTTTTAGACCCACACATATGTACTCTATTAAGGAGACGTTTTTGCCTTCTTGTAATAATCCGGTTTGATTGGGGCAAAGGTCTCTAAAGATGAAAAATGTATAGAGAAGAAAAATGACTTTGAAGTAATAAAATACCTAAAACGATATATCAGTCTGGTGAAAGACAAAACATACCAACAAAGTTTGTTCCTCATTTGAATGATTTGTTCATGTATTCCTACATTGGTTGAAAATTTTCATACTTTCTATTCAACACAAGGATTCATGTTTGTTTTAATATGCAGTACGTTTCTAGCATTTGTTTTCTTGGTATATGGCCCTTTTATTAATTTGTGAGTCATTACGCCACACAATTGCTTCCAGTTTCGAGCAACCTCTCGAGTGAACAACCATTATGTCCAACAAATTGCATTGGTAACCACCATTATGTCATTATTATACATCTTTCTATATACAAATCTTAGCAAAACAAAATAATCTCATATGCTGATAGCATATCAAGTTCAAGATTCATGGCATATGAATGATTTGAGGCCTTGAGGGGAACTCGTGAGAGCCATCTTGGTTGGTATCATTTTCGAGTTGACATAGCAAAATATGAGTTTAAAGCAACTATGACAATTGACAATTCATCTTCATCATCGTATAATGTAATTGAAAAAATATATTTTAAATAGCATTTTGAAACCTATTAAGGATTGTTACTACAAAAAAAAAAAAAATTCTTACATCATTTGTTTTATATATTTGCATTAATTATAAATGATGAAAAAGAAGGTACATCACCTAAATAAGTGATTCTGAAACTGGTTATGCAAATTACTTGCATCCATTTATTACTAATTGATGCTAATATTTAAATCGGTTATAACAATTAATCATATTTACTAGCGGCATCTTTCATATTCTTTTTTTAATATGGAAAATTGCTTTCAACATCTATTAAAATCATTATAAATATTTACTAATATTTCTTATTAGCCTCTTCATTTACAAAAATAAATAAAACATCATTATAACCCAATTAATATAGACTTATCATCGGTTTAACAAAAAAAAAATAGTAATATGAACTTAGATCATAACTGAGCTATGATTTCTTCATGCTTAAGTGTTATATGAAACATATCTTGCTTTTTTCTATGTCTTTCTCTTGCATTGTCTTGATGAGATTGTTGCAAGTATAGACCAAAATAACAAAGAAAAAAAGAGTTATCCATGAAATAATCGAGAAAATAAACTGATATATAAGAAGAAGAAAATTTATTTCCCTCCAAAATACTATAGATGTGATGACTATGTGTTGGGGATGTGATATGCATGCATAGTTTCACTTTACGAGTTGTGGTTTATGACAAGAAGACCAATGATAAAAGAATCGTCATATTCGAAGATTATATCAAAAACATTATCGCATACACAAGGTCAAGATGGTTCATAGCCTAGCGATATAAGAATTGTAGTACCACTTGAAGCATTATAGATTTGTTAAAATCAACCTAAGTATCCATCAATACCACAAAGATGTGGGACAAAAGGAGGGTAAATTAAGGGTTCTACATATGTCTTTTAGTGGTAAAGAGATTTTTTTTTTACCAAAACCTACTATTAGCGAAACTACTCCTAAAGTTTCAGATGTAAGCCCTTCAATTGCAGCTGCATCCTTGAAGAAGATAGGCGGCTTTGGTACGAACCTGTTATCGACAAAAGAAACCAAAACCCTTGTCAGATGAACCAGGTAATTAAAGACATGAACCAAGTTAGAAAGAGGAAGAAATGTTTTGTTTTGATCTGCTTTCTACTCACTTTAGATGCATAAGGCCGGAGATCAGTGCTGTTGATCTGACAAGAACAGTTTCTGAGAAACACAGCCCACATGTCCTTCAGTACCGGCTTTTCTTCTACCAGTTTGCTGGAGAAGAGCCAGTTCTCAGCCAAAACAACGAAAATGTAGGTTTTGAAAAGGTTGCAACCTTTCTCCTTCACATTGATAGACATCAGCGAGCTCAACAAATTTTCGTCGCTGTCCTGTTAACAGAATTAAGACCAGAGAATGTATAACTGCGTTCGTTTGCTACAGCCTTAACTTGGTATTATTATCATATCATTTAGTTCATGGTTACCTTATGGTCAAGTAAAACAACAAGTATTTGATTCGCGATGGAACTTCTCAGATACTTGCTTCGAGCATCAACACCTGATACAGATTCCACTATCCTCAAACAATTCATGTCTTCAGGAACTCTGCATATGCATAAAACCAGAAAAGCATACTGAGTAAGTCGAATAACAGATTTTAAAGGCCAAGGATGCTACAAGAAAATAAGAGAGGTCGAACCTGGAAGCAAGAGAGGTTGCTATTTTTCTGCAGCTTGAAACCCATTCTTCATCTTTGAAGGATCCAACAACAGATGTTAAGCACTCTTGCAAAAGAAGTGGAAGACCTAAAAGACCGCGATCTAATAGCAGTAGTACAAGGATTTCGGCTATCTGTTCAACTTGTGAAGTCGAGAAAATGGGATTTTTACACCTGACCAATGAAGCACACCAGAGAGGCAGGAGTAATCAAAATGAATGAAATAGCTAAGTGCTGTCACAGTTAGATACTTGGAATTATTGAATCAGCACTAATAAATGTACATGTATTTCCTATCCGTCGTAAAAGAAAATTTTGCGCCACAAACCTAATTTGACAACAAGCTGTGACAAGTTTGAGCCAAGCTCTAATATTCTGAGGAGGACCTTGAAACTCAGAATCTTGAAGCCAAAAGTTAGTAGACTTCAGTATTAGTATTATCAAACCTAAAGAAAGTATAACTGCTAATAAAAGAACAGGGATCAACAGGAACACACCTGCTTCTGTTAGTTCAACATCTTGTGAAGAGTTAAGTCTGAAACCATATATTTCAAGAGCTTCTTTAAGTTCTTGGTAGTTAGGAAGCCACTTAATTTCAACAGGAGCTCCATTAACCTGATTACACCACATCGTTATATTACCAAAGCAGTTAGCTTCAGTCAAAACATAATGTAGTAAGCTATGGAAGCACATGAGAGAAGGAAAATACACAAGCATACCTCGTTTTGTGATAACAGTATGGAACACCAAAAGTCACAAGCAGATGATCTTAGATCTTCTTTTGACGAATACAACACTGATAAGTCCAAGACATCAAAACCATACGGTAAGAAAAAGTTCATATAATAAAGAAACTTAAACAAGAAAGAGCTAGACACGCACATATGTTAAGCGTCCATTTGCATATGAGTTTTTCCACTCGTGCACACGTCAAGATCAGTTTTGTGAGCCACCCGTTAACCAGAAGTCCTTCGAGAAATGTCGTTCCTAGATTGTACATTGAAACCTATTATCTTAACCCGGCAAGAAATGCATCTTCTCAAGTAAAAAGATGATAACTTCTTATAAAACTAACCTTCATTTACGCTAAGACCCACCATCAGATTCAACTGATCATCCATAAACTCTTTCAACAAGCAGCAACTATCGAGATCAAGATGCGGTATAGGCAATGGAGCTTTCTGTATAGTAACATTAACAAAAGTACAAATCTTAACAACTACCACTTACTCTGACAACAACAGTATAAACATGGAGAACAAACAAAATCAGCCTAACCTGATCTCCAAACATACATAAACCCCATTCTTGATAATCTTCATCACCAGCTATCTCATTCATCTAAAAACATGTAATAATCCAACAATTTCACATCAAAAATGTAAAATCATAAAAAACTCAAAAAAGAGACGAGTTTGACATATACCTGACTATGACACTCATCAACACATTGAGAAAGCTGAGCTACTTTGCCTAGTTCATCATCATCATCAGAATCGTAAACCTTAGTGACTTTGCGTTTCTTGTTCTGCTTGTCTATAACTTTACTCTTCTCTTTGTAAAAATCAGAGAGAAGATCATCCAAACCAATCACTTTCTTCCTGTTTCGTGACATACCATACCAAAAGTTATAAGCTTTGTGATAAAGGAACAAGCTTTACATCAACCCTTAAACAAAGACCAAGTTTTTTTCTACAGTAGCAGACCAAATTGGATCCAAAATTATGAATTCTCCAGAAAACCCTAATCTACAAAGACACATAATTTCACTACAACGACAAACAATTCAGCGGAATTCAGACAGAACACAAGTCGCAAAATGGGTTGAAGAAAGAGAAATTTAGCGATTTCGAATTGTCGCTAAAGGATTGACCTTTTTTCAATTGCGGCTGGTGGGTTAACCAGAGGATCTTCGTTCTCGAAATCAAGTGGTCCATCCAAATCCATCGTAAACCCTCTCTGTTTCTCTCTGTCTCTGTGATGTTGTGAGTGAGTTGGGGGATTATTCAATCTCCTTCGTTCGGACGAAACCCTTAAAAGGTTGAAACTTTTTGCAGCGTTGGGAAGCGCGAAGTAGTGGGAAGTGTTTAAAAGAGAGGCACCACTTAAGTTCTGTGGGCTTTACCCGTAGTAAAAAGTCTCTTCTCTGTACTTTGGTACTAAATACGACGAATGCTAATGTACAATAATAGATCATATTTTACTTACCGTTTGGTATAGTGGTGGATTATTGTCCGCCCCAAAAATTGAGTAGATTAAACCGCGGATAAATTAGTTATCTTTAACATAACATCTATTTGAAACCTTTTAATTTGCTCACCGTAGGTTTTACCGAGCAAGTGGACAATTAGCAATCTAATATAAATGTAGTTTCTTCATATCGCATCGTTAGAACTATCCCTGAGTATATGGGTATTCGGGTGGGTTCTGGGTAAGAACCGATCGGTTTCAGATCTTTCGGGTATAAAACTTTTTTTATCCATTTAAGATCCAAGAAATTTCGGTTCGGATATTAATTCAGATCCTTTCGATTTCGGTTCGGTTCTACATTTTTGGAACCGTATTATATCCAAAATACTTGGATATCCATATGGTTCGGGTAAAATAGACCCGTTTGTATACGAAATGTAGCAAAATACCCAAAAATAAAAATAAATGGAAGGAAAAGGTAAATTAGGTTTACTCTAGACCCGGATAAACGGGTACCCATTCGGCTCTCAGGTAATATCTGGATCCGACCCAATATCTACGGTTAGAGAAAAACAATATCTATCGGTTATTTAGGCTATAACCGAATCCAAATCGAACGGTTATTTTCGGGTCGGTTCTGTTTTTTTTTTGTCCAGGGCTAGTTAGAACAATTTTCTAGCCTTAGGCCCTATTACAGTATAGCAAAAATCGTTAAAAATTATATACATGATCATAGTAGCGAGATGGATGCTTAAGTGATAGGATATAAATTACCAAACCTCTGTTAATTTTCTGTCCTAAATTTTGTTTTGCACGCGTTCCTTGATTTAAGATATAAAATATGATTTCTAGGCACAAAAAGAATAAATCGAATATCATCTAACTTCTATGTTTCTAGTATCAAATTCTATTTTTAGTCATTATTTCTAGTTTATACACTCACTAAAAGTAGTACTACCTACAACATTTTGTGTGAAACAATTTTTAGCCTGAAATGAATTTTACATAACTGTTGATAGGTAAAACGGTGTAAGAACATCTATATGTTGAAGAATTTGAACCAGGACGGAATAAAAAGACTGAACAGTTAGGCAATCTTGTATTAAATCGGGGATCATCAAATTACAAGTAAATGAGAAAATAGCCGAACGGCTATACAAGTAAACAAGAATGAGCAGGGCTCGATTTGAACTCTCTGCTCCACTCTCAATTCACTACTTATCTTGTCAAATCATCCCCCCCCCCCGCCTTTATTGTTGATAAGACAGCACAGAGTCTTACACTGAAACTGACCTAATTCGCAGGCGGCGGACTTCCTTCAATCGATTCGAACTTCGGGTCGGGCCCTTAACGGGCTGCCAATGGAACCTCTGATCATTTTTTCTTTTAGTGACGAGCAGAGCTTCTATAAGCCACGTCATCGACTTCAATTGGCGATGAGATGGAAAGGGGACTCGTGGGCCGAGGCCCATATCCAACAATAACTATTTCAGATAAAAGAAAAGTTATTAAATATTGGTTTTTTTTTTTGGTAATGAAATATTGGTTTTTTTATATAGTGGTTAATTGGTACATTAAAGAGATATATATATATATATATACTATTAATTATATGAGGTGCTACCCAAATATTTATATTCTGTTAATGCATTTTAATTATTTTATGCCAAGATAATAAAAAGGGTATAATATTATAAATTTACAAAATATTTACCTGTGGAGTATTAAACTCTTGTACTATTTAATTAATAATTACAAATCTAAAAATTATTTTCCAACCAGTAAGATATTTTCCAGGATCTACCACTACTAATGGTTGAAATGTTTTAACTTTTAACCATGAGACTTTGAGATTAATCGTATTTCGTTGACTAGAAATGTTTCTTGGTTACCTTGTGTATATGTGAATGAATGACCATCCTCACGTCTCTTTTGTAGCCTTAATGCATTTTAAAACTATTCATCGTATCTTTAATAGTCTCAAGTCCCGACCACACGAACGAATCCACTGCCGTATATATGGCTGACCAACGATTTTGTTTGGACAAAATGACCGACGATTAAATTGTTAAATTTAACATACATCTTTTCTTGATCTTTAATTAAATTGCTTAATCTGACTGCATATGTATGGGTCTCTGCCCTAGGCGGCTAGGCCCTATTGTGGTAGCAAGAATCGTTAAAACTTCAAAGGTTGTGAAAGGCCCATGCGGCCATGCCATGTTTGATTGGTACTTGTGTGAAAATGTCACGAAGCATGGCCATGTAATGATGATATAGACAAAAATTTCTTGGTGACGCCAACATAGGTGGGATTAGGTTTCAACACTCTCCATTATGCACATGGATAGTGATCGAACTTCAACAGATATACCCTAAAGGTTAAAAAAAGAAAACTATAGACACGCATTTGAATCACCCCAAATCTAGATGTTGTATCCACCATGTGCGATCACGTTACACATGAGAAGAAGAAAAAAAACCAAAAGTTTATTGTCTTTTGCAAGTGAATCTTATTATATAATGTGAATATAAATCTAAGATTAGTTGATAAAAATACATTTGAACCGGAGTTTCCTTTTTGACAACTTAAGTCCCAATACATATTAGAGACTTCTTCTCGAAAGAGAGACAAACGTGTCGTAGCTTTTGACTCTTATGACATGAACGTCCAAAATATTTCATGCTCAAAGGGACAAATATCTAATCGGCGTGCATTATCCATAGTTGGTGAGAGTGAGACATCCACGAGTGCTATACGACAGCTCTTATCCGATATTAACATTACAACTTGTGAACGTTTCGTTTTGGAATGTTATGACTTATGAGATTTATCCCATCACATGATTACTATTACCTTTTTTTTTAGTATTTTACATTGACCGACAAAACAAAAAGTGCTTCAACAACTTGTCCTAAACTAAAGAGAAATAATAAGCCAAGTTGAGAAAAAAAAAATAAGACTCTTTTCTATGAATATTATTCATCTATAATTTAAGTTACAATTACAAATTTGTTTGATAATTATTTACCAACAAATTTCAACAGCTTTTCTTGATCCAATGATCCAAATCAAGATTTTCTTGAATCCGAGATAACGATATCAGACTCGGATTCAGAACTCTCTCTAAACTTCTTGTAAATATCACCTTTGTAAAACTCTCTAGTCCTCATTGCTAGACCTAAAGACACAAGCGCTCCAAAGAACGTTACTGCAGCCAAAATCACAAAAGGCAACTTATAACATTGACTACCTATGCAAGTCAAGTCCTTTACATCTTTTCGGGTTAGCCCTCGTGCTGCTAGTTGCTTCAAGGCCTCTCTATCGTAAAGCATTCCCGTGACTCGAACGTTGAGGATGTATGAACCGAGGGGGCTAGCAAGCTGTCCACAATTGAACAATGTAGAGTAGTACTTGAGCCCAAAAAGTTCTGAGATAATGGCAAAGAGCAAAGGAAGTTGTGCGCCGAAAGAGAATCCCATTAGTATCGACGCGATATATACTGAACCGGGTATCGGGAAGGCAATGAGAAGGTGGCCAGCACAACTCAATAAAAGGACTAATGTCATCATAAGCGGCCGGGGTAATTTATACTTTGCCAGCAAGTATTCCGAGACAAAACCTGAAAACACTCGACCGAAGTAGTTCCATATGCTGACTAGAGACACAAAGGAGCTAACCGTGTGGTTCGGGTAGCCGAGGGATTCCCCTATCTGCCCGAGGTTGTCTACGGCTGTCAAGCTCGATCCTAAACCACAAAATGTAGCGACAAATAAGATTATCATGTCGGTGCTTAACAATGCTTGTAGTATGGTGTAATCTTCCCCTCTTGGCGGTGGAGAAAACACCGTCAAGAAACAAGATTTAGTTTCTTTCTCTTCTTGATCCACCTTCTTTGCGGTTTTGTCCTGATCAAGATCAAGTTCTTTCTTTGGTTTTTCAACCTTGACCTCACTTGGTTCTTCAACAGGCAACTTCTTCATGTTCCAAACTTCAATCTCTTGTTTAACCGAAACCGTAAGAGGTACAAAGAGCAAAACACAACAGACCGTAGCGCTCGCAGCATAAGCGGCTTTGGAGAAATGAACTTGCTTCTCAGCAATGTTCATTGCCATAAGAAACAAAGCCAAGAATATAGAAAGATAGAGGAATTGATAAAACACACTGAGCTCATTCCTCTGTCTCACAACCTTCTTCTCTCTTATCAAATACACAAACACTAGAGACACCGCAGCAGGCAACCATGCTATCAACAGAATCAAAGACTTTGAATCATTTCCATATATCGCAAAATAAAGCTGCGTCATGATTGCGCCACTTAGACCAACATAACCCTTAAGCAAACCAAGCATAACTCCTCTGCTCTCAGGGAAGTTCTTAACACAAGTAACCAAAGCTCCTGTGTTTGCAAAGTTCTGCGAGTTGGCTCCTATACAAATGTAAAGACACATTTGCCAAACCTTTGGCTTCGCGACTTTACCTGTGACAGTAAGCCAGATCATGAAGTAACCGACAAAGTTCATCGCCGAACCGATGGTAAGGACAAACCAAGTCGGTGTGACCTCAGCAATAAGTCCGGACAAAACTCCAACGTTTGCTCCAAGATCTTTAAAGAAACCTAAGAGGTTTAACGTTGTCTGGTCATAACCAAGTGTGGATTTAATATCTTTTGAGTAAGTCCCAAAGAGATAAGTGGCTCCAGCACAAGCCATGATGAGGAACGAAGCAAACACCATGAACCATCTTCCATTGAGTAGGTGAATCAAGAATCGTACGGTCTCGTCATTACCCATCTTAGAAACCAAAGGCTATTATCAAGATCTCTGTGAAACAGAGTCTTTTCAAGATTGAGGAATGGAGAAAACTATTGGGATGATCCAGAATGAGAGAGAGAGAGATGAATGATTAAAGTACACAAAAGATAGTCTCAGGGCTATAAAGTAGATAAGAGTTTTGTAATATATCTAAGTATCGAAGAGAGAGCTAACTTTGATGGAGATTGACCATTTTATCTATAGCCATAAGAGATAGAAAAGATTGACCATTTTATCTGTCTTTTCTAATTTTGTCTTAGGAATTAATCACTGTTTACAAAGATAATGAGATTAACATTAAAAGTTGAATTAAATTTTATCTTAATAAAAGGTCCACCTAATAGTGTACCACAAAATTAGAGTATCCACCTATGTTTAACTAACCCCTCTCCTTATAGAATGCCCATCAAAACAAAACAAGTTGATATTAATCAATGTATGAATAAAATATCTAATTGATTTATTTTTATGTTTTTTTAACCACATATGAATTTACATTTTGAATATTTTGGGACACAAAAATATCAAGTAAAATGAATAATAATAATACTAATAAATAATAATACATTTATAATAATAGATATAAGACTAGGTAATATTTTATTTGTAATAATTAATAACCGATCATTTTATTCAATATTTTCAGTCAAAAATGTATAAGTAATATTGATCATATTTGTTTTAGATTTTGTCAATTGCGTGAGTCCGACCATCAGAACAAACATCATGCGATACGAAGCAAAAACATTATAAGTTGTATTTATAAATTTTGAATTGTGTTTTTTTATCATATTTTATTCGCATATTTTTATCATAAATTTTTGTTTCAATAGTTTTTTTTTTAATTTTACAAACAGTTGTGTCTATTTAAATATTTACGTTTTTTGGACTTTATATCGTCTTCTTAGATAATTACCAAAACTTTTGTTCTTTGACACATTTTCTTTCTTTTATGATGAGTCTAAATAATTTTAATTTTAAAACACTATACTTATCAGTGAGTGGTTTCTCTTGTTAAACAAAGACCATACCATTGACACTTGGTACCTCTTCACTTCATATTTGTCGTTTTTGTCCAAAATAATACTAACTAGATTAGGATCCCTAAGTTTATATAATTATTATTTATTACCGGTATAAAGAAATAAAAATCAGATGATATGTGAAAATATATAAATTAATTATTATGGTTTTTTGTTAATTAATTTTAATTAATTTCTCATATATAATGTCAAATGTGAGAGAAATTATATTAAATGTGATTAAAAAAATTATAATATCGAAGAGTTTAACCATTTAATAATAGACTATTCGTAGATTATAACTTTTGTGATATATATATATGCAATCCTTTTTTTAATATAGTTTCACTCATAATTGTGTAAAACTAAATTAGCTCTTGATTTGAATATTTGTATCAGAAAAATTGAGGTACTTAGAATTAAGTTACTTTCTTTTAGTTTCTTGGTTTTGATTCGTAGGTTGAACTCCTCCGATAATGGTTTCCTCATATGCAAGAATTGAAACCTGTTATTTATGTTACATACAACGACAATTTTTTTGACTGGCCATTTATAGAACGAAGAGCATCTAATCACGTTTCCTTCATTGTGGTATTGCTTACATAATAATCTGTCTGCATGGACTATAAGGAAATGTATAATATCTACTCGAGAATTCTTCGTGATATTTTGTTGTGACCTTGTGAGTGTCCTCTGCTTAAAACTAGAATGGTAATTATGATTCTACATATTGTTTGTTTGCTTCAGTGAAGTATAAATTTTCATTTACGTCTATATACTAAAGTCTCCTTAGATTTGGCAAGGTGCCCACTCATCAACCAAACCTTGTTTCTATTCTCACCTCTCTTTCAGAACCTCCATTACTTCAGTTTCTTTCTTTTTTTCCCCTCTCTATATTTGCTTCAGTTCCTATCTCCAGGACATGATACATTGATACTAATGTGTTTTTAAAGTGTAATAATTCCACAATTGGCTAAGGTGAATGATTTAACATGGTATGGGTTGCAGTAGAAAATCCACACAAAAAAAAAAACACAAAACCCGTCGTCTACGTACCTCTACTGACTATTGTCGCATATCCTAATTCCTACCTTTCTTGATAGGAATTAAGATATGCGTTTGATGTTTCCAAATTATGAGAAAACATATTTGATTTACTCTTAGACATACGTATACATTCAATTAACATAATTATATTGGGTTTCCCTTAATTTTAAATATTTCATAATAATAAAATTTTCAAATACTTAATTTTGTAGACTACAATCTTATAGCACTATTTTTATATAATTTTATAGTTACAAAGATATGTAAATTTATCCACATGTATGTACAAATATATCTAAATTAATTGTATGTGTATACTTGCCCCAAATGATCAATAAGGAGGAATTTCAAAAATACACATTTTCAAATACCACTTAAAAAAAATATCCCCTTTTAAACTTTATAAAAAAAAATCACTAAAATTATTGAAATCCATCCAAATATGTATGTAAGCGTATAAATATATACCCACAAATTACTATTTTATGTGTATAAAGTTTTATATATCTTTCATAAATAGCATAAAATAACTTACAAAGACCTTTTAAAAACCTTTTAACACTTTATAAACCCATTTAAAAACTTTTGAAAAATCTTATAAAACTTGTAAAAACGATTTAAAACCTTTTAAAACATTATAAAATATTTGTATCGAATCTCTCAGTAGTAGTTATTATATAGAAGTATCTTATAATCCATATAAAACTTTATAGTTTTATATATTTAAATAGGGATATTTTTGAAAATTGGTAGAAAATTTATCTTTTCAAAAAGAGGTACACCAAAAAGGTTATTTCTCAAAAATTCTCAGTAATCTATATTAAGAAAAAATATAAAATTTCACTGGATATTATTTTTGCTTTTAATTCAGAGTCTTTCGCTTTTATTAATAAGAAAATCTAAGTATCAAACTTTTTTGCATTGATTTTTTGAATTTTTTTCCAAGACCTTTTTTATAGGCATCCTTTCAATAAAATGCAATAAATATCTGTAGATTGGGGTGGTGACTCAGCTATAGACAAATCACAAGGTTATATATAATGATCAACCTTTCTTATTATGTATTAAAAGGTTTCAAAACATATCTAAACGTTTCTGTGTGTTTTTAAGTCATGATCACTCGGATGATATTGAATTTGATGTTCAACATTCTAACCATAGTAGTGATAATCACAAGAAGTGAAAATTCCAATAGTCGTGATGATGAAATAGATCAACTCTTGAAGAAAATCAACAAACCTTTTCTTAAGTCTATTAAAGTAAATTATTAGTTTGCAGGATTTCACAGAGAGAATGATTACATCTAAGTATCTAACTATGTTTATTTTCTGCTAATTTTTAATTTATAGTTACGTGTGTAAATAATGGATTTTTTTTTGTGTAGAGTCCGGACAGAGATATAATAGACTGCATTCATATAAAAAATCATCCAATTTATGATCATGAATTATTTAAAAACCACACCATTCAGGTTCAAGATTTTTCTTTCATATCCTGTTCTTGTTTCCAAAAATAATAATTAGATACTACTTCTAATTTCTACAAATAGTAAATAATGTTTATTATAAAAACACAAGTATAATTAACACCAATCTAATAAACACACTAACATGGTGTTTAATAAGCGTCATTTTTTTTTCAAAGATGCAACCAAGTTATGTCCCACAAGGATCAAAAAATGGATCTACAAACACCCAAAACCAAAGTATGTTGACGCAACTCTGGACAATCAATGGTAAATGCCCAAAAAACAGTATCCCAATTAGAAGAACGAGAAGAGAAGATATTTTACGAAGAAGATCGGTGGAAAAATATCGAAAACCTGGTTTTAACGAGGATCCTGGTCTCTCACATGAGGTATACATATATTATTCAATAACCATTTGAAAAGCAACTATTATCATATTTATTCATATATATATATATATATATATGAACATCTCTTAAGTTTATGATATGTCCATGTGCATATATAGTATGCCATAATTAAAGTGGATGGAACATTTCATGGAGCCAAAGCGGATATAAACGTGTGGAAACCTTACATACAAACGCCAAAAGAGTTTAGCCTAGCGCAATTGTGGCTTACAGGTGGCCCTAACTCAGAACTTAACAGCCTTGAAGTTGGGTGGCAGGTGCGTACTTTACTTTTTCAGCTACATTATATATATATATATATACTAGTAAAAAAAAATTCTATAGCCACTTGAGTATTCGTGGCTATGACTTAATATTCGTGGATATAGCATCGTACCTTAAATAATTCGTGATTCTTTTTAAATAAATCATTTTATAGCCATAAATTTTCACGACTGTCAAGTGGTTATAGATATTATTTTTTTTACTAATATATATATTTTCCCAAGTGTATATACATATATTCTTATCTTTTTCTTATTTGGTAACCTATTTTTCTAATCAGGTTTATCCGGAACTTAATGATGACGATAACCCTAGACTTTTTATTTTTTGGACAGTGAGTTAAATGTTTTTACTCATGTTTTGGCTCTTTTTGTTTTTATTTTTGCACGAACATGTGCTTATAAAAGAAACCTTTTCCTTTTGTTTTTCTTCGTAACATGAATATAGAACGATGGTTACAAGACAGGTTGCTACAATCTTGACTGCCCAGGTTTTGTTCCTGTGAACAGAGCAGTTGTCGTAGGTTCGATTATTAAACCGGTTTCCACCTTGCGTGGCAAACAATATCATATTACAACAACTATATGGAAGGTTAAAACTATATTTTTTCATCATATAACTTCGAAAAGTAGGATTAATATATTGAAACTAAAAATGAAATGTTATATTATTATAGGACCCTCATACAGGGAATTGGTGGTTAAAACTGAGTGAAAATACAGTTTTAGGATATTGGCCTTCAAACCTGTTTAAACATCTTCAATATGGTGCAAATGGTATTCAGTGGGGAGGAGAAATTATAAATTTTAACGATGATTCACGACACACGACAACTAAAATGGGGAGTGGTCATTTCGCCGAAGAAGGATATAAGAAAGCTAGCTATTTTAGGAATCTTGAGATCATTGAGGAAGATGACAGATTCAAACTGCCTGAGAAAGGTTCTTCTTATGTGACAAAAGCGAGTTGTTACAATGTTAGGTCTTCCTTTGATAGTAGATATGGAATTAATTTTTATTATGGAGGTCCTGGCCGAAATCGAAATTGTCCATGACCATAAATATATGTGTTTTTATATATAAGTAAGTATGTTGTTTACCACCATCATATATTATCTATGCGAGTATGCAAATAAGTAACATTATTGATATAATCATTTGTTTCGAAAGGATTTATGACCTTGGGAACTCTATTTCCTTTTTCTTCTTTAGATTTCTTGCAAAACCATCACTAACGTGAGATATAAAACAAAGATACAGACTTGAATCTGAGCTGAACACTGCTACGTACACTTTTCATTTATTGTATCAATCATTAGGAAAAAATAGGAGCATATGCACTATATTGAGACATGGAGACATTTGGAGCCTTATGAGCTGAAAGAGTACTATGGAATCAAGCAATGAGAAGTAAAAACAGATCAAGATCATTAATGAAGATTGCAAGAACAAGTGAAGAGAATTAGATGATCAAGAGGAGAAGAAATGTGATCGAACTCTAGGTCGACTGAGAGCTCGATCAAGACCTAAACTAGCTACGGACAAGGCTGTGATGATCTAGTGACTAGAGAGCATCAAAACAATGAGATCAAACTTGGAGTCAATTACAAGACTAATATCCGACAACAATAAGTTCGCCTGTGTATCTTCACAAGAGTTTGACTCTAGTATGTTCCCAAATGAGCTGAAGAAAATAAAATTGATTCATATTATATATAAACGTAGACAATGCAGTTAATGTGATTATACCAGTTTTCTCATAATTTACATATTTAACAATAATATAGTAGTTTTTAAAATACTTAAAGTTTGTACAATACAATTAAATAGCATTATTTTCAAATAATCACATAGTTACAGAAATATGTAAATGTTTTAATCCACATGTATGTGAAAATCTATATGACTAAAATAATTGTATTTGTATGCATATCCAAAATGTAATCATGAAATAATCAATTTTAACAAAAAAAAGAATAGACAATTTAATTGAATATCATTTTGCTTTTAAATCAGATTTTTTATTTATTTTATTAATAAGAAAATCTAAGAATTAAATTTTATTGCAATTTCTTTTGTACTATAGGGCTCTTTTCAATAATATACAATAAATATGTATAAAATAATTAATCACTAGGCTATAGTTTAAGACCCCCATCTAATATATTACCAAAAAAAAAAGAAAAACATTTCATATTGTATGTATATAAAGGATTCACTCTAACAAGAATAATCCCTTCAAAACATATCAATTTTTTTTTTTGTGTTTTTTTTAATCATGATCAATCAGATGATAGCAAATTTTGTGCTCAACATTCTAACCATATCAGTGATAGTTACTAGAAGCGAAGTTTCCAATACTCATGATGATGAAATAGATAAACTCTTGAAAAAAATCAACAAACCTTTTCTTAAATCTATCAAAGTAATTTTTTTTTTGTTGGATTTCATGGAGAATGATTACATCTAACAACATTTAATTTTGCTAATTTTTAATTTGTATGTGTAAATATTGTAATTTTTTGTAGATTCCTGATGGAGATGTAATAGATTGCGTTCATATGAAGAATCATTCAATTTATGATCATCATTTATTTAAAAACCACACAATTCAGGTTCATAAATTTTACTTAATCTTTTATCATTAATATAATTTAAAAATAGAGTTCAATAATATATATATATATATATAGTATTCTTATTTCCAAAAAATATTTAGATACTACTTGTAAAAGTTTTACAATAGTAGATAATATTTATTAAAAAATTAATACAACAACATTATAAATATTTGAACTAAAAATAATTGGGTTATCATATATTATGTTTAATAAACTCCATATTTTCAAACGTCATTTTTTTAAAGATGCAACCTAGTTATGTTCCAGAAGAATCAAAAAATGAATCAACAAACACCAAGAACCAAAGTATGTTGAGTCAACTCTGGACAATCAATGGGAAATGCCCTAAAAACAGTATCCCGATTAGAAGAACTACAAAAGAAGATATTTTACGAAGAAGATCAGTTGACGTATATGGGAAAACAAATCCCAATGACAACCCTAAATTTCATGAGGTGCATATATTATTCAATAAGCATTTGAAAAACAATAATTATTACCTTATTCACATATATGCATATCATATTACATGTGTATGTACATCTATAGTATGCTATAATTAAAGTGGATGGAAAGTTTCATGGAGCAAAAGCGGATATAAATGTGTGGAAACCTTACATACAAACACCAAAAGAGTTTAGCTTAGCACAAATGTGGGTTGCGGCTGGCCCTGACTCGGAACTTAATAGCATTGAAGTTGGATGGCAGGTCTTACTTATATTTTCAACTATATTTTCATTTTTGCTAAAGATTTTCAACTATATTTTCACTAGTGTATACATATTTTCTTATATTTTCATTAATTTTGTATCCTATTGTTTTTAATTAGGCGTATCCGGATTTGTATGCTGATGAAAACCCTAGGATTTTTACTTTTTGGACAGTGAGTTAAATTTTTATGCTCATGTTTTGATTCTTTTTCCTTTATATTTTTTTGCATGAATATGTACTTATAGAGGAAGTTGTTTTCTTTTTGTATTGTTTCGTAACATAAAAAATAGGCTGATGGGTACAAGTCAGGCTGCTACAATCTTGATTGCCCAGGTTTTGTTCCTATCAACAACGCATTTTTCGTAGGTGCAACTATAAATCATTTTTCCACCTACGATGGCCGACAATATCATATTTCAACACTCATATGGAAGGTTAATATAGTTAATATAAAATATAAAGTTTAAATCTACCATCGTATTACATATTAAACTAAAAATTGATGTTATCTTATTGTATATAGGATCCTCATACAGGGAATTGGTGGTTAAAATTGAATGGAAATATAGTTGTAGGATATTGGCCTTCCATACTATTTAAACATCTCAATACTGGTGCAACTGAGATTCAATGGGGAGGAGAAGTTATAAATTTTAATGATGGTTCAAAACACACGACAACAAAAATGGGGAGTGGGCATTTCGCTGAAGAAGGATTTAAAAGAGCTAGCTATTTTAGGAATCTTGTGGTACTTGATGAAGATGATAAAATAAAACGACCTGAGAGAGGTTCTTCTTATATGACGAAAGAGAGTTGTTACAATGTTAGGTCTGGCTATGATGTTATATATGGACTTAATTTCTTTTATGGAGGTCCTGGTCGAAATCATAATTGTCTATGACCGTAAATATATATATCTTGTAGAAGTAAGTATGTTATTTACCACCAAGTATTTATGTGCTTATGCAAATAATTTTAAAAAAAAATTAGTCTTGGAACCATACATATATAGTATAAGCTAAAATCATCAGGATCATGTTTATTGAGTTAAGTTTATTTATTTATTTATTTAAAGTTTCAATACATTACCTTTTTCTGTAATCTTATTGTTTTGGTAAGAAATGTGGATACTTCCACATAGTTGAATTTGTTCGTCAGTGGAGAAATATTTATGTTAAGAAAAATCAGAGAATTTAGAGTAGGTTGCATAGTAGACTGGACAAAGAGCAACTTCTGATATATAAGTAGGAGTTAAGTTATGAGTCTTAGCAATAAGTGGTCTAGGGTCTAATATAGTATTTGGTGATAAGAGTTTTGAAGAGAGTTACATAAGGAGGTTTGAGATCTTCATTGTGCACGAGACCATTAGGGATCAAGAGTTAAGTAAGAAAGAACCTTACCTACGTGACCATAAAGAGTTCCAAGATACCATAGAGATTGAACCAGTTCTATAGTGGAATGTCTGGTTATCTAAGAGAAATAGTTGATGTGAATGAAGTCAATTTTTAACAGTTTTTAGAGTCATTTTATTATCTATCTATTCTTCAGTCTTTTGTCGAGACTTTTTTCGTTTTTGATACTTTTTTTTTTGTGTATTTGTGGGTTATTGGATATACTGGAGTGCAAGACGTATAAGTAACATTGATCATATATGTTTTGGATTTTGTCTGTTGCGTGAGTCCAGCCATCAGGACAAACATCATGCGATACAAAGCAAACACATTACAAAGTTGTATTTATTCATTTCAAATTGTGTTTTTTACCATATTTATTTGCATTTTTCTATTTTAAAGTTTTGTTTCGATAGTTGTGTCCATTTAAATATTTATGTTTTTGGACTTTATATATTTTCTTCCTAGATAATTACAAAACTTTTGTTCTTTGACACATTTTCTTTGTTTTTATGATGAGTTTAAATAATTTTAATTTTAGGACACTATACTTATCATTGAGTGGTTTCTCTAGTTTAACCAACGCCAAACCATTAACATAGACCATTGCTGTTGTGTCCCATCAGAAAACCTCTCTCGGTGGAAGGGCATTTGAGATCTTCATTGTGTGCTAAACCATTAGGTACTTGGATGAACATGAACCCATACTTGTTAGCGTTGGTCAATTATGATGTGTCTATAATTATTGTGAATGAGGATCACCTAGTGAGAGGCTCATTGATATATTGTGATTTTATTTGTTTTAAGTCTTTGTTTTCTTTTTTTTTTTATTTTATAATTTTTATTGAGTCAAAATGTGTTTTCAGAGTTTTCTAATTCATTATATAATGAAACTAAGAATGAATGTTATATTATTATAGGATCCTCATTCAGGAGATTGGTGGCTAAAATTTAATGAAAATATAATTGTGGGATATTGGCCTTCCATCTTGTTCTTGTTTTTGTTTAACCATCTAAAAAGTGAGGCGACTCAAATTAATTATATATTCATTTACATCAGGTTTGGTTTTCATAGGTCATCTTGACTATGGTGTTATGAAAAGAAGAACCAACCCATACAAAATCACTAAACGTTCTGCTAAAAGAAGGGTGTCATTAACTTAAGCACCATGGCCTATGGGCCTCAATGTTCCAATGTTCGTGTTAACATTTTTAATAATAACAAAACAATATACAACACAACTTTCAACGATACAAAAACAAAACAAACGTACTTTATTAGATTAATTTCGCTAACCACCCATCCATTTCTACAGATTTATCATGTTAATATTTGATTTATTTTTCCTCTTTAATATTATATTATTGTTCATGCATTATGTCATTTCAACTTAACCAAGCAACCTCTTGAAAGTGACTTTATATCTTTTCATATATTATCTGATTTTTTAAATATAAAACGTAACATGCGATTGGTCCGTAATGCTAAGTTGCTAAATGCTAACACTAAGCAATGTATGCATACATTATTTAAATGCGGTCGGTTTGATAAGTTGATAACCAAACATGAGACTTCTTAATTATCCCTTCATTTTGCATAAACAAAAGGTGTATAAAAAAGGAGTGGCTCGTAAAGTTTTATTATATACCTACACTAAGTATTACATAAAAGTTAACAAGAAAAAGTATTTACATAAAAGTTAACAAACAAAACTAGTTGAAAAATTGAGGATGTATACTAGATAACGTAAGTAAAATCATGGGACATCGACAAGAGTCCAATAAGGACTCGTGGTGGTGGTAAGCACTTGTACAAAACTAAAGATATACTAAGATGGCTGAGAGAACCAGAAGTTAGATATCCTTGATGCTTACGGAAACGGAGAGGTGCTTGTTTTGATTTCTTCTTTGACTTATTCATTTTTTTATCTTTTGAGCCAAATTTAACATTTTAATGAATTGAACAAATCGCATTCTTATCAAATATTTTTGTTATGAAAACATCACATCTCATCGATGTTCTTATACTTCCACATACTTAGCTTGCTGACTATACGTTCTTATCTTGGGTTATAGGGTATAGAGAAGCCAAAGAAAATTAGCTGGCGAGTCATTTTCTAAGTGAATACAAATCTATTTATTTCAAACCACTAATATTGTTTAGTGATATACTAAAGCATTTTTATAAGTTTGGCTATAAGTATAAGCTTCTTATAATTAATTAAACCTAATTTTTGTTTATATATTCCTACTTCTCATGTTTTCTAACTTAGTTTATATTATGTTAGAATTTTTGTGACATAAAATCTAAAAGTTATAACATTAAAAAAAAAAAAAACATGTCTTAAGTATGGTTTTTCGTTTATATTTCTCTGATTTTTGGGAAAAAAAGAACAAAAAGTGATTGTTCAAAAATGGTCATTGGCTTGAGTACTAGTTTATTTAAATCATATTCGTTTTAGTAAAAGAACACTAACAATATTTGGTGGCTACAAATGATTCGAGTTGGGTCCATTATCTCTTGCCGTGTACGGATATAAGACTCAAACCTAATCTGATCAAGGATAAGGTTTTATAAAATTTGTGTTTTAAATCATTCCTTTTTATTTTTATTCTTTTGAACAAAATTGAAACCATTGTCCAATCCTGAATTGTAGTACCTTTGCTCGTTCATTAATATGTGACAAAAAAAAAAAAATACAAGAAAAGTGTGCCATGTGTGTTAATGTAAAAGATGTTAATTAACATTACACTAAAGAGTTAAAAAATCTTTATGTAGTAAAAATGTGGAAATACTTGTATGACAAGGTAGAGTATAAGATAAATAAAGTTATTGGAATATATCTTTGAAAGATAAACGCAATGACACATAACAAACTTACGTATTTCACACAAACACACGATCAGTTTGGGACCAAACCAAGTGCAATTTCACTTGGTAACACAACGAATCGTATTCCACGAACAATCATATGTAGTCGCCTAACACATACATATTCATGTTTCATTTCTCTTCTGCAAAAAGTTTTTAAAAAATCTTTCAAAATATTATCATGTAATTATTGTTCTTTCAATCATTTTTTTTTTTAACTAGGAAGTTCGGATCATAGACAGTAATTCTCCAAGTGTCCGGGCGGGTAAAAACCCCTAACCAAATGGATATATCTAGTGTTAATCTATGGTTTATAGAACTCTTTCTCTAATTTTTATATATATTTATTGTATCTTTTTCCTTATGGTCCTTGTACCGATTTTGTTCATCCCGGAGTTCGTTGTCGTTGTGGCACCTTTTTTTTATTTCGATATAATCGTGAAAGTTATATATAATACCAGAAATATTATTTTTTAAAAAATTTATCTGGTGATTGTGTTTGAAGAGAATATATCTCTGTCCTATACCAAGATCACTTGTTTTTTTTTTTTTTAATCATGTTTCCTCTTTAAAATATTTTGTTGAAGTGAATGAGCCTCACAATCTAACATATACTTCAAAACTTACATATTAGGTTTGAGAGAGTCCGAAAATATACTTTTCACATAAAGCTGTTAAGTGTCATGCTTATTACCTTTAACAACTTTACAAAATATGCAAAATTGAGTCATTGTCACTTTGAGTTGTAATAAGTTTTTTTTTTTTTAAGATTGTGTCTCCTGTCTTTACGTGTATATAATAAAATTTTATGCAACTTTTTTTTTATTTCTAACATGTATATAAATATCTCCTACGTATAAGACTTGGAAAAACTCCTAATATTGTTTTCATTAATACAAAAATATACGACTTTTGAGTTTTGGCATATGAAATTTATAATTTAAAAAGAAAAATCCATAAGAAAACAATAAATAGACACCAAATACAACAAAAATAAAGAAACTTGAATGTTTTAATATCTCTCTTAAGAGTCAACAAAAGATTTAATTAGATAGTCTTCATCAATCTTTCTCAAAACTTCTTCTATTGTTGTTCTACCTTCACCATTCCTTAATCTCCACTTCATCTCCCCCAAGACCCGAATCCGAAAACACCTCTTCACCAACTCAAAAACCCTATTAACTCAACCCCAACAAATTCACATGTTTCGAATCAAACAACCACCAGCTCAGGCCACAAGACTCCTCCCGGCAAAACAAGAACGATGAAACAGAGAAGAACAGAGAAAAGTCTCTGTTTCAAACAATACTACAAATGGATCCTCTGTTTTGTCCTTACTCTCTATTTTCTTGCTTCCTTTCTCGTCGACCATGATCAAGATCAAGATCAAGAAGATAAGTCTTCTTCTTCCCGACCAAACCCTCTTCTTACTAACCCTAAACCCAAGCTTTTCGCTTCTCGTGCCATGTTTGAATCCAATATCCATGACCACAAACTTGGGTTTGCCCCTCAACGTCCCAACATAAGAACAGGTACATATTTACAGATGAATCCATCATGTTTTCTAGTAGAATGATAAAGTCTAAAGACTATCTATACCCTATAGGGAAAGGGGACAAGTCTAGGTTTTGGTCCGGTCTAGTTCACGTTATTAGTTGAACAACCTTACCTTGTCATAACTATTATATCTTTGTTTTTCTTAGATGTATTCAACAATTTGAAAATCTACGTCTATGACTTACCTTCAAAGTTCAACAAAGACTGGTTAGCCAACGAGAGGTGCAGCAACCACCTCTTCGCCGCGGAGGTGGCTCTCCACAAAGCATTCCTCAGCCTAAACGAAGATACACGTACCGAAGATCCTTACGAAGCCGATTTCTTCTTCGTCCCGGTCTATGTCTCTTGCAACTTCAGCACCATCAACGGCTTTCCAGCTATTGGCCACGCAAGATCGCTTATCGACGAGGCGATTAAGCTCATATCGACTCGATACCCGTTTTGGAATCGAAACAATGGCTCTGACCACGTTTTCACTGCTACACACGACTTTGGCTCTTGCTTCCACACCATGGTTAGTTCAAAACATGATTTGCCAAGCTTTGTAAATATACATTGACTTAATACTTAAAATTATATTTGGCTGTGAAGGAGGATAGAGCAATAGCTGATGGAGTACCAAAGATTTTGAGAAACTCTATAGTTTTGCAAACTTTTGGTGTTACATATAACCATCCATGCCAAGAAGTAGAGAACGTGGTGATACCACCGTACATCTCACCGGAGAGTTTACAAAAGACTCAAGAGAATATTCCGGTGACTAAAGAACGAGACATTTGGGTTTTCTTCCGGGGAAAGATGGAGCTTCATCCCAAAAACATTAGTGGTCGCTTCTATAGCAAGTAACAAAAACTCTTATACCAAACTCTAAAGACGCATTAAAATGTTATATATATTGAACTATTTTTTTAACCTATCAGGCGAGTAAGGACTAAGATATGGCGGAGCTACGGCGGTGACCGGAGGTTTTATCTCCAACGGCAAAGATTCGCCGGTTACCAATCGGAAATAGCTCGTTCTGTTTTCTGTTTGTGTCCTCTAGGGTGGGCACCGTGGAGTCCAAGACTTGTTGAGTCGGTGGCTCTTGGATGTGTTCCGGTGATAATTGCCGACGGGATACGTTTGCCGTTCCCTTCCGCCGTGCGTTGGCCGGATATATCGCTCACGATGGCGGAGAGAGACGTCGGAAAGCTAGGGGAGATTTTGGAACACGTGGCGGCTACTAATTTGTCGGTCATACAGAGAAACTTGGAGATTGCGTCTGTTAGGCGTGCACTTGTGTTTAATGTTCCTTCAAGAGAGGGAGATGCCACGTGGCAAGTTTTGGAGGCTTTGTCAAAGAAATTGAATAGGTCTGTTAGAAGGTCAAACTCTTACTTGTAAACCACTATAATTTTGACATGTGTATATCATCTTTTTTTCTCTTTTTTTTTTTGTGTTAATAGTGAGAGTTTTGTATATTACTACTACTTTGAGAATTATAAGTGGAATGACTATTCATAGTAAATAACCAAATTGATTGATTTTTCTTATTTACAAGTAATTGGTAGATGCTTTCATTTGGATTTCTGATAAACTTAATGTTATTTCTACATAATATCATTTTTGTTTATAATTATAAGAAGGTTTTGTCAATTTTGGCACAACAAAATAGCACCTACCTAATAAGCCCTAAAAGTGAATAAACTACTATGAACCTAGGTGAGACTTGATCAAACTTCCCCTAAAGATAATCAAATCCACTAGTTTAGTCATTTTTTTTGACAAAACAACCAAGTTATAACTTAATATGAGGATGAGCTTAGCAACGAATTAGAGTATTTGGGACAAAATCATATGTAAGAAAAGAAAGATATCAAACAACTTATGATTGTAGCATTTATAACATTAGAGATTGTGATTTGTTGTGGAGCAATTCCCCAAAGAAGCATTCTTTATGCAAATCTGTCTCAGGGTTACAATTGCAGGCTGAAATCCTGATCTTAGAGGAACAACTGAAGCAACTCTCATGTGTTGAGCGTTTCGGTTGTGAGGCCGAGTCAATGTCATCCTTAGCATTTCTCCATCAAAGACCTGATTCACCATTGATGCTGCAATAGCAATAGGAACAAAACATCTCAAAGCTTTGGTAAGGATAAGCTCTCTCAAACTTAAGTGAAAGGGTTTATTACCGGCTAAAGGATTGAGCTTTGTGAAGTGGAAGAACTCATCAGCTGAACAACCAAAGAGAACAGTCGCAGCTCTATCAAAACAGATCACAGTTTTCACTGATGTATCTGTTGCTATTGACATCTGTTAGATTTTGAACAGATTCTTCAGTAAAGGTGGAAACTTTGGATTCTCACAAGAGTTTTGAATCCTAAGAACACAACATTGGACAAAACCCCAATTTCTAAATCCCTAATTCACTAACTCAATTTCTAGAATTCTTGGATTAAAAGTTGAAAGGGTTCTTACGAGAATCCGGTAGAGAAGTTTTGGCTCTTTTGAATCGCAGATTTTGCATAGTGATGAAGAGGTAACGCCATTGTTGTCTGAGGGAAGAACTCTTTGGCAGCGAGAACAAACTCTGTAGCAATAATCTGTGAGGTCGACGGCAAGCAACGTGCAAAGAACCGTTTCAGTGGCTTCCATTTTCTGTACTTTAGGGCTTTCTCTGGTTAATCAGCTAAGTTTTATTAAAACACTCGGGCCAAGTTTACAATTAGACCCAAATCCCCAATCTTGGGAAAAAGAGCTTTTCTTTAGCTTTAAGAGGTCATAGGTGAAAATCATGACTTGCAAGAGAGAGAGAAACTTAAGAGGCACAATCATTTGGTGAAAGTGTTAAGTCCGATCATACAAGGATTGATCTTAATAGCTACACTTTAGAATTCACAATCATACTATCACATGTATGACTTTGATGCACAATTAAGGAAAGCCAAACACTTATGTGGTGTATCCTTGAGAATTATTTCTTACAAATCATGTAGTTGTTGTTGCTTAGCCTTTAGTGTCCTTGTGACTGTTATCTTTGTTGTGTTTCTACTCGAAACAGAAAACTTGTCCATGTAGATGCCAAGGTATGATATAAGTGGGTCAGCTCTGGCTTTGTCCACCACAAGCTTTAGAGACTGCGACTGAACCTTGGGAAACCGTAAAAGCCTTTTGTTCCCGATCGTCGTGCTGTTCGCAACTCTCTCCCACTTTCCGCTTCCAATGTTCCGAGTCTCGAGATGGAAAGACGCAACCCTCTGACCCATATGGATCGGTTCTCGGATTTCCAACACATTGAAACTAACCGAGTCTTTAAACTCCAAGTACAACTCCCATTTCTTCTCATTCTCCTCTGGCGCCCAGTACTTGTCTAATCCTTCTTCCAAAACATTCTTAGGACCAAACTGTTTACTTTGGCCACCACGGATGCTGCTGGAGTCAACTAAGGCTTTACGGGCGAGATTGTTTGAGAAAATGGAGTTTTTCATCTTGCGGAACTCCTCAAGAACCTTAATGTCTTGTTCAGATATTAATCCTGAAGAATTAGGAGGCACATTAAGCAAGAAGAGACAGTTCCTTCCAACTGAGTTATAGTATATGTCCAAAAGCTGAACAGCTGGTTTCGGAGACTCTCTCCCGTGCCAAAACCAACCGGGTCGAATCGATACATCACATTCCGCTGGTATCCAATCTTTCCCTAAGCCATCACCTTCCTGAGAATACCTACACAAGATCAAACAACTTCAAGCTATGATCTCTGAATTCCTTACAATCTATGGACAATTTGACCATTTGAGAGTGACTCTGACTCACAGAGGATCAGTGTCCCCAATCTTGGCATTAGTTCGGTTAAAGAGTGACCAGCAAGTAGAGCCAGCGTGACCAGCTTCATCACCGATCCACCGGACATCAGGACCGGCGTCGGAGAAAATAACAGCTCCGGGCTGAAGCTGATGGATCAAACTAAACCATGTATCAAAGAAATATTCCATATCTTTCTCTCCTTCTCCCTTAGCTCCATCTAACCAAACTTCCTTAATCTCTCCATACCTAACAAAGATTCAACCTTTTCAAAATTTGGAGTTTCGAATCACAAACCCATTTGACTTATATGAGAAAAAGGAGCTTACTTTGTTAATAACTCGGTCATTTGACTCAGATAAAACTCGTTATACTCCAATGTCTTGCCATAACACGGATCATGTCGATCCCATGGAGAAAGGTAAAGACCAAGTCCAATTCCAGCTTCCGCCACAGCAGCAGCAAGTTCAGCCACAACGTCGCCGGCTCCGCCTCTAAAGGGACTAGATTTGACGGAGTAATCGGTGTATTCGCTAGGCCAAAGACAGAACCCGTCGTGGTGTTTAGCTGTGAGGATGACACGGGAAAAGCCAGAGTCTTTAGCGATTTGGACCCATTGGGTAGCGTTGAGATGAGTCGGATTGAAAACAGATGGGTTTGCTTTTCCGGTGCCCCATTCTGAGTCGGTGAAAGTGTTGGGTCCGAAATGGAGGAACATGGCCATGGATCCGAGTTGCCATTGGAGCTGTTGGGATGAAGGGATGGGTAAAATTGGAAATGGGTGTGGTTTTAAAGGAGATGAATTTGAGATTTTGAAGATTGAGAGGTTTGAGAAGATGAGTAGAAGAGTGATTAGAGAGTTCATGGTTCTTGAAAGGTTATAGAGGACTTTACTCTGGTTCTTCTTCTTCTTCTTCGTCTAGACTAAAAGTCCTTCAATAGTTCAATGGAGCTTTTGTTGTTTCTTTTCTATTCCACTTGAACTTTTTCTATCTTTTTAGCTTGAAGTAATTATTAATTAGTACTGAAAACTCAAAGCAAAGGCAATAAGTATTTGTATAATTATGCCTATGGGACTTATTCCTTAATACTAACATCTTTGATGATCAATTTATTTTCTTAAATATGAAAATTAAATAAAAATACTATGAGTTTCATGAAGATAATAAAACTTTCCTTTTATTGTTTTTTTTATTTATCACAAGATAATCTAGGCATGTCAATCGGGTTAGTCCGACCCGACCCGACCCGAAACCTGTACAGCCCTCATATACGTGAGCCTGGTCCGGTACGGCCCTAACATGGCTACAGGGCTTTTCGTGCTTTTTTGAATTTTACTTATCGATAAAAATATCAATTTCAAAATTCATAATAGTATTTCAAAAACTATATTTAAAGGTCTACTATAAAAATAATGCATCAAATTTTAAATAACTTATCAATATTCAATAAAACTAACTTAATTTAAGAGAAAAAAATAAGAGCCAAATAAATTATTTACACTTTAACCCAATAAAACATTGAACTAAAATGCTTTAAAGTATATGATAGAGTCAAAATTTAATATATATTTTGATGATTTCAAATTCATGATAGTTAAATATATTTAGTTTTAGCTTTGTTCAGTTCTGACATATATAAATAAGAGAAAATATTATAGATAAAGATTTTAAAAGTAATAAGTAAGGCTAGTAAGTAAATATGAAGCTTATAACATTAATCAAATCTTTTAATCAAACTAAAATATTAAAAAAATTGAAAGTATATTTATTTAAGGGCTTTTCGGACCGGTCCGAGCCCGACTGGGCTAAGCCCAAAAATCCTTTAGCCCGAATGGGCTTAGCCCAAAAGGTTCGGTTTTTTCTGAACATATATATTTAAGACCGAGTCCGATGTTTTTCAGGATCGGACCAAACTAGCCCGCGGGCTTTAGCCCTAATTGACATGCTTAAGATAATTAAACTTTATGCAATTTATAGGAAACATTATTATTATTATTATATATATTTTTTTTTTGCAATTTGCCTAAAAAATAATTTCTACTGGTTATTAGCTACAATTATTGGGCAAACTAACTAGCTTAGAAACAAATCATATGCTTCTTTAGAGTTTAGACCACAAGTAAATCGTAATATGGCCTTCTTAACAATGGTTGTAAACAAAGATGTCGATACTTGATGCCTTGAATTAAATAAAGTTTTAAATGGAAAAAAAAAATATATATATATATATATATATATATATATATATATATATATATATATATATCAGTGAGTGTGTGCACGCACGCATCACGTGACCCAAATCACATACATATATAAATCTCATTTTTGGTTTCCTTTAAAGAAGTTATATATTTTCGTTCCCAAATTATTGTTTCTATAATTAACTTATTAAATCCGGATTACAAAGTCTCCATGGCACTTTTAACACTTAACTCTTCCTTAACTATTTTGTAATTGTGCTTGTGCCGAAACTTACTATTACAATATCACTCATGTAAAAATATTTTAATTAAATAAAACAAAAAGCAGAGTAAAAAAGAGAAAGGACTAACAAAGTGTACGGTACTGTGAACCTCCCACACACACACCCTTCTGTTACGCAGACGCAGGAGCCGTCTCTGCAACTTTTTTTTCGTCGTCTTCTATATCTTCACCACTCTTCTGTTGAAACCCTCCCCTCGATAAACTCGAAATCTCAGAGCAATTGATCAAAAGGTTCTCTCTCTCTCTGTTTTTTTTTTCTCTGCAAATGCGTCTTTGATAATGTTTGTTTCCTTCTCTGATTCGTGCTTTAACTTGTTGTATAGAAGAAGAAGAAGATGGAGAATGTGGTTTGTGAATGTTACGGAGGTGTTGAAGAAGGGGAGAAGAAGAAGAAACAGAACAGTTCGACGACTGCTCCGGTCACCGTTGTTCTTAAGGTTGATATGCATTGTGATGGTTGTATTGCTCGGATCGTTCGATTAGCTCGTCGTTTGGAAGGTTCGTCTTCGTTTTTAAACCCTAGAAAAAAAACAAAATCGATAACTCCATGATTCTTCGTGTTATCTCGTTTTGCTTTTCAATCAAACAGTACAAAACCTTCAGTCTCGCGTTCGATTTCAATTTCTTAGTTTTTTCTTTTGGATTTTTGTGATGAATCTGAGTCGAATCGTTCGTGTTTACTCGTTTAGGTTTGTTTCTTCTATTGTAAAGCATCGTGAATCGAGTGTAATCTCTCTGTTAAACCCTAAACCCTGACGATTTTTGATATCTGTTTTACGTTTTTGTCTTCTTCTCCTACTTTATCTTAATCGTTTTTGGTTATTTCTTCTCTATTTAATGGTTTCAAGTATTGTGAATCGATTGTGAAATTTTTGTTAAACCCTGAAGATTTTGATCTCTTCCTTTTGTTGATTTATGTTTGCTCTTCTTAGATCTGAGTTCAGAAGCATATACACCTCTGTCTCTACCATTTGAAAATGCAGTATCTCTGTGAAGAATAGAATCTGTTGTGTTTTTGGATTTGTGGATCTTTGTTTCATGATCTTTTGGTTTTTGGATTTTGTGGATCTTTGTTTCATGACCTTTTGTGGTTTCCCTTGACAACAAGATCAAGCAATATTGGTCAATAATCTCATTCAGTTCTGATTTTTTTTAACTGTATCAGGAGTTGAAACAGTGAGAACAGAACCTGTTTTGAACAAGCTGACTCTGATTGGGTTTATGGATCCAGTGAAGACTGCTGAGAAGTTGCAGAGGAAGAGCAAGAAGAAGGTGGAGCTGATATCTCCTAAACCAAACAAAGAAACCAAAGAGAAGAATGAGAAAAAGGCTAATGATAAGACTCCGACTGTGGTATGCTCTCAATTCAGCTTCAGATACGTTCAGTGCATAAGTTTAGACTACATAGATTATAGAATACATGTCTCTCACAACTGATTCAACCATGATTAGAATGTAGTAAGGGCGTAGTATCAGAGGTAGATGTTCTCATGCTTGCTTGCTTGCTGCTCAAGTAACATTTTTCTTATGAGATTACTAACCCCATTCCCTTCACAGAAACTAACTGTACTGTAGCCATTATCTTCTAGGTGCTTCTACTGTATTATAACTAATCTTAACCGTTCACTTGCTATGACTTTACAATCTGTTTTCGACTTTCTTGTTAGATTACTGTGACCACAGTGGTACTGAAGCTGAATTGCTCATGTGATGGCTGCATCAAGAGGATTTACAAGTCCATCTGTATGACCAAAGGTCGGACTTATTCATGGGTTTATGTTTCCATTATATTTGACTGATACAGAACTTTGTGTTTTTGGTATTGACTCAAACAGAACTCGTCTTAACATCATTTTGAGTAAATATGTCATCAACAGGAGTGTATCAAGTCAAAACAGACAGGGAGAAGGAAACGGTAACAGTCACAGGGACGATGGACATAAAGACTGTGACAGAGAACCTGAAACGTAAGCTGAAGAAAACTGTTCATGTCGTGCCTGAGAAGAAGAAGAAGAAAGATAAAGACAATGCAGAGGGAAATGGAATCACCAAAGTCGGGTCCCCGGGTCAACCTGGTTATGGTTGCACTTGCACTCATGGGCTTGGGCCTTTCATGTACTCGGGAGGCCCAATGACTGGGTTTTTCAGCGAGGAAGATGAGAGCTTTTGCAGCGTTATGTGATTTTTCGAGGCAAGCAAAAAACGTTCGGAGTATATCAACTATATATATAGTATAAGGTAAATAACTAAAATAGGGAACAGGAAAGCAAAAAAGAAGTACTAAAGTCTGACGTTTTTTTTTTTTATATTTTGAGAGATATTTGCATTTTTGCAAAGGACAGTACGTTTTTTTGTGGGGAAGAGAAAAATTTGGACTTGCATTTTAGTTAACAAACTGTTTTGTATTGCCAAAGAATTTCAGGAGACTACAAGAGTAAAAATAGATAAAAAGTAAACAGTTCTTTATTGCCAAAAAAACTTTATTGACAGAAAAAGCAGTCAATTAAAATGTTTGGGCCTTAAATTTTATAATGAAATGGTAAATGGGATTCTTACCGAAAATGCCATTTTTAAGGATAAATTTTACGAATGTGCATTTTTTTATAAATCTTGTGAATTTTTCTGTTTATTAATTTTTAAGCTAAAAACGTACTTAATAGTAACCTTAAAGATATATAGAACCGACTAAACTCAAACATAGCGAGTAAAACGCATGTTTAGTTACATCCTGAAAAATGGCAAATCTATAAGAATTTACCAAAAAATAGCAAAACCAAAAAATGTGTCACAAAAGAGGCAAATTCATAATTGATTCATTGTAAAAGCTATATTATCTTATTTGTACTTTTAAATATTTAAATTAGACGAAAAAAAAATAAAACATTTAGTTACAAATTTCACATATTTTTCGCTTTTTTATATATAAGTTTTATAAAGAGGAAAAAGGTGCTTATCTACACAGACTAGACTTGTTAAAATAAAATAAATTAAAATAAAGTACAAAGTAGACTAAATCAACTAGAAAAAAAAATTTATAATTGTTTGTCACGCTCTTTTAGTTCTTATTTTACGAACTGACCTACGGATTGGTCCAACGATAGTTTGGTGGTAACATTTATGTTCTTTTCGCAAAACTTAAGACTATGGAAAATATTGTATGTCATGTTTTCAAGCTTTTAGAGTACCTCTAATGGTGGATGACAAAAAAAAAGAGTACCTCTAATGGTGTAGAGTTAAATTATAATAATATATAAATTTTAACCAATCATATTGAGATAATATACAAGAAAGATTATAAAACAAGATTCCCAAGGTATTGTTTGTTTATTCTGTGGGCAACTAGAATGGGACTCTACTTCTTCAGAGTTGAGGAAATCACGTAAATTTCCGATTTTGATACCTCAGAATTGGTGTTTCTTTTTCTGGTTCTGTTCAGGTTTTCATTAACCTCTTTTTTATTTTGTTATTGTATGTTTATTATGTAGATTTTTTTTTTCGCTACATGTTTCCTCTGTCATTTCTATCAAAATTTCTAAAATGGTATAAATACTTAGCATTTATACCAAATAAAAACAAAAATCTTAAAGTTTTTAAAGAAAATCCTATGGAAACATGTTAAATGGTTATGAAAATATACATGTGCATTTACGCATTAAAGTTCATGCATAGCAAAATCTTTCTCCAAATCAGATTTGAGATCCTACATTTAAAGAACCATATATGGCCCTTCGACTCATTTACTCTCTTGCAGTCAAAATGCACTTCGAGTTGATGTTTAGCCCATAAGACACAAATCTATCTTTAAAAAGTTAACAATGGCCGTGTTAGTCTCAAACAACTGCAACTACGACTACTATTTTCTAAAATCACGTGTTAACCAACTTGTTATATTGATTGATTTAGGAACCCTTGATTATATATGTAGATTGTTTCATATATATATATATTACGGGATAAGATCATAAGAACAAAACAAAAACCAACTTTCCCGTTTAAGCAAACCAAAGAAAATATCTATTATTTTCGTTAAATGAACTAATCTTAAACTTTTGTTGACTAAGCTAATATTGGGTCCAAGGATTAGTCATAAAGAGTAAGATAGCACAAACCAAGTGTAATCATCATCAATAGATTAAGATACTTTCCTAGATATTTGTAGATGATATTTAAGTTTTGGATTTGGTTATATATATATAAGTCAATAACTTATTTTTGTTAGTTAAACAATATAATTCTCTTCCTTAATCAAAAAATATCCTACCAAATTATCATATAATTAGCGGGTTAGTTCATGTATCTTATAGAGTTGAACAAAAAGTGCAAAATCGAAAACAAGAAGACGATAAGACAAGTAAAGACCGTGTCGGACCAACCCCGCGGTTATAGCGGAGAACTATAGTCAAGTACCTTTCAATATTAAATATGGACTGTGGACTGCCAACGACATTTATATGCAACTTTTTCTCAATCATATTGTAATAATAGAATTTTCAAAAAAAAAACCAAAAATGAGAACGTGGAATTATTTAAGCAATCATATGTCTAATCAACTAGCTAGGTCATATTATGTCAAGATGGTGTTGTTGTTATGTAAGTCTTCTAGCTAAGATATTATAAAACAAGTTTGCTCTCCTTGGACTGGCGTTCAAAAGTGTCTCTTTTGGACAATGACTTCTCTTTTATTGCTACATGTTCCCGTGTTACATGCCGATTACTGTTTTTTCTCATATTATTTTATGGTAATTTGTTGTTTTCATAAGCTATTTTTGTTGGTACGAGGTAATTAGTGTGTGTAAGTGTGTAAATTATGGCCTAATACATTCATTCGACTAAATTCATTGTTGATTAATGGGTTTATTTTTCTAGAAATATAAGTTTTATCATGTATTCATATATTGAACCAAAATACTATATCTTTTTCTCCCTCATAAAACGACTAATATAACTTTAAGTCATTCGAGATTATCATAATAATCGAAATTTACGTACATAGGCTTGATATGAAGAAGACATAACTTTGAAATTTAGAAAGACGTGGTTTCAAAATTTTGTAATACTGTACATACTTTATTTGTCCATAGTTAATCGTTTATTTTCCAAGGTGTATAATGAATGAATGATTTATAATTCAGAAGTCTTGACAAAGATATCTAATAAGGATATGTCATATATGTCATTATTTTTCAAACTTTTTTTTTCAGATTGTATGCAAACATCACTATTTTCTTATTATATTTGTCTGTAGTCCAATTTATAAAAATCCACAAAAATACATTTATATATTCGAAGATAATAAAGAAAAATAACAAAGAAATAGTGATGTTTACATACAATCTGAAGAAAAACAATTTAGGGTTTATGTGTAGATATCTAGGTTACGTGCATAGTTTGCAGCCTTGCACATTAGTTGCTCTCATAGATACGAAATTGATTTTAGTAGATATGGGAAAATAAGGTACGTACGCATGTCAAACACATGAAATCAATTTCGTCCCATTTCTAGATTCGACCGACACTATTTGTATGGCACGTCCGTATATATTTGCAGCTAGCTTGATACAATAATTGAGTATCGATCGTCGTTACATAACAAAGATAATATATAATAACTAAACTAGCACACAAGGATCCATATTGTATATATATATATACAGCTTTTAAGATAATAATTGAGTGAATTGGCATACATTACATACTTATTTTTCAGAGCTTGTTCTTCTTTTCACCAGTAGTGAGAGACGAACATGTCGAGGTGGGATCCAATAATAAGTAATGCTCGTGGATGGATAACAGTATTTCATTTTATTAGCATGTTCTTGTTGTTTTATTGATTATCACGGCCAATGATCCTAATTTTCACCGTCCGACTAATATTTTCACAGTTAAGTGTAATCGTCGAGTAATATAACATGCTCTGCTTTTGTGCCTGAGGGGATGTATGGGCCTCGGTATAGAACATCTTTGATTATTCAAAAAAAAAAAAAGTGTAATCGTCGAGTAATATAATCCATTCATTAGTTTTATTAATAGATCTAAAGCATATATAGTACCATTGTCAAATGGTGTGATTTAGTAAATTTCGTGTTTGAGAAGAATGAATCCCTAACCTAAAGCTAACAAGAGAACTTCTCAAATGGAAATCATTAGACCATTACCACTTGGCTTTAGACAATATATTTGTGTTCTACTCAACATGTTTAAGTGTGTGTTTGTGTCTATAAGAAAAATCACTTAGATAAGTAACACAATATGACGAAATAAATCTTCGATTAGTTTGCTAACAACTACATTCCTTAATTACAAAAATCACTTAAATCAACATATATATATGTTTACTAGCTAGTTTTAAATTTTGACGTCTAGCTAGGTTAGGGGTACGTACGAATCTCTTCAATTATCAAACGGGTCATTAAACATGAAAATGTATAATAAGTTACTTAGCCGTCCAAAAGAGATATTCAAAGAATTGGATACATCGAATTCACATGGTACATTTCTTGTATATGATATAAATGTATAGTACGAAATCGACCATGACAATGCATGCAGAGATCCAAAGCTCATGACTACTACACAGTTCACAAAGGACGCAAAGTACTGTGTATGTATGTATATAAATGATATCTCAAACGCTCTTTGTGCATTGAACGTGAAAAATATGAAGAAAATATCTCGCCGGTTACGTTATTTGCTATATATATTATATTTTTCCATAACAAAAGATATGAAGTTTTGGTTTTTGAGTTTAGCAAAAAAAAAAAAAAGTTTTGGTTTTTGGTTTTTAGGGTTTATTTGATTCAAAATATATAAAGTTACTTAACCAATTTGTATATGAATCAATAAAAAAAAAGGTCAAAGATTATATATTGGTTAGCAACATTTGCCTTTTAAAAAATCATAGAAAATTATAACCATTTTTTTCATACATTCAAAATTTTCATACAAGATTTTGAGAAAGCAAAACAAACAGAGATCAACTAGAATCTGTCCGTCTTCGCACCATCAGTCAGATCACCCTACCATTTCGTTGGACTTGTCTGGCTGTTGGCCATCACCATGTTCAACTTTTAATTTTATAATATTTAATTAATATACATTATTACTACAAACTTTTTGATAAAAAAAAAATGATTTTGCAAATTCATTGAAAACACGTGTACACATAGCTACAATTAGATTTTCAATCTACATACAAAAAAATTCATATAAGCTACATGGCACTATTGTCAAGCCTTTATATGAATATTTTAACGGTCATATATACTGTAAAAAACGTTTTCAATACTTCTGTTATGATCAGTTTGTACACAAGGACAGATGTACGTTGAGACAGAGCGTTTTGGATAACAGTTACATAAAGCCCTAAACTTAAATAAAGTAGTTGTAAGAAAGTTTGAAAATGTAAAGGCACTTCAAATCTTAAAACCTATTGATATATATAGCCTTCGACGAAATGTACTTCAAATCTTAAGGCACTACCATAATTTCCTGTTATACAACTGTAAATATACATTTGAGATCTCATTGTAAGCATCTAGTAGGATTTCAATTTCGAAATGAGTTAAGTAGACAGCAATAACTATATGTAACATATATAAGGCATATGAGTTAACATGTTACTCTCAACTAGAATTATGTTTCATATATTTTCATTTCTCCTTTACAATTGAACCGCATCCTACTGGAGTTTTTAAAACTTTCTATGAATAGTGAATACAGAAAAATATTATTTTCGATTTGCTTTTAAAAAAAAAATGGAAAGTGAAATTGCAAAAATTGACGACTTGAATGGTTTATTTGCACAAAATATTTCTATAACCTTAGCTGGATTTTTTTAAGGTTGTCATAGTTGAGTTTTCATCCATGTATATGTTAATTTTAGATACTGTAAAACAGAAAAACAAAGAAAACAAAAATTATAACTTAGAATTGGAAACCGCTTTCGTGGAAAATTCAAAAGAAGGCAGAACAACCAACTAAGCCACATGCTTTGGTCTCCCTTACTCTCACTTAACCTTCTATATTTTCTTCCTCTTCTTTCTTATCCTCTTTGTACCATTCTCCCTTATATATAATCCTCCTTACATGTCTATATTCAAACATACATTTTCCCAAGAAACCTGAAATCCCGAGATAATAAAAAAGGAAAAAACAAAAAGGCAACCTAATCTATTACCATGGCCAGGCAAAGAATGATTACAATTGAGCCATCAAAGAAGAAAAAAGGTGGAATTGTGAAGCTCAAGAATGTTGTAGAGAAATTGGTGCAGATCAAAGGCTTTTCCTCGGCGAAGAAACCGTGTTCCGAAGATCAATACGGCCGTGATTGTGTCCCAAAAGACGTGAAGGAAGGCCATTTCGCGGTGATAGCCGTTGATGGGTATCATGAGCCTACACAGAGATTTGTCGTCCCATTGATGTTTCTAGAACATCCTATGTTCCGTAAGCTTTTAGAAAGAGCAGAGGAGGAATACGGGTTCGACCACCATGGAGCCCTGATGGTACCATGCCAGCCTAGCCACCTCCGGATGATATTGACCGAGCAATGGTGTTAATATTTATGCCGTAGTTATTACTAATTTACTTGAAACTATATAATAAAACCGTATTATTCACTAGAGTGACTCTAGTGATTTTTAGTCACTTAAGATTTTAGCTATGCTATGGGTTTCTAATGAAAAAAATATATATTTCACACTCTTCAAACTTGCAACACTAGCACTTAAAATGCAAATATTTCAGCCAAATTTAATCTTAGTCCATTAAAATGAATAAATTGGTCTACTAAGTAATTTGAATTACTTGTTACCGTTATACAATCCATTAAAATTTTAGAGTAATACGGTTGAATTGGTGATTCCTATATAGTTAAATAAAATACTCTCATCGAAAAATTTATGGACCATGTGTTTTTTTTTTCTGATCACAACGGACCAGACGTGTTTATTATTATGGAAACCCTAGGATTGTTTTGTTCTAATGCAAAGATGATGTAAGCACGAAGCCTTGACACAAAAACACCTAGATGTCTTAATGGACCATTTTAGCTCACTTTACAGCTTGTTACCTCAAATATTCACTTAATATTCTCACAAATGATTAGGAAAAGTGAAAGTGGGGGACCGAGATTTGTTATAGCTTTGGTCGGAATTTAGTAACTTCACACATTGGTAAAGCACGAGGACAAGTAAAAGCTGATGTAGAGTGATATGAGACGTCGTCACTCATAGATATTAAGTCCTGTTAGATATTTTTGTTATGTTCTTTACTATATATATATAAATGTATGTAACAGTGGGACAATGGACATAAAACCAAAAGCAATGGTAGGACAATGTACACCAATCCGTACTTGCATTTTCACAATCAGTGCCCCCTCTATATCTCCTATATATGTATACACACACATGACCTGCGCTAAGGTGATTCGGACGTGTCTAAATATGGCCATTGTATAAAGTGTTATCGCTTTTTATAGTTTCTAACATCTTTCCTCAAAACAATTGGTTTTAACTACATAGGATTCGAGTGTTGTTTTTGTTTGTTTTTTAAGTTAAATTATCAAATGAACCCATGATCATGACCCTTGTAATGTTTTAGTCAAAGTTTAATGAAGAGAGGAAAAAACAAACTCATATTTTATGTATAGAGAAATAATAGTTTGAAACATTATACTTTTTTTTTGTGTGTGAAACATTACATACGTAGTTATATATAGAATCTTAAGATATTAATTTATATCTTAAGATATTTATATGTATAAGATGAAAGAAAAATTTGGTGTGTTTGAGATACTTTAGACTAGAAGTTAATAAAATACAGTTTGATGATTGTTTGCTAATTAATATGGGTTTATATATGTAAATGGAAATATGTGTTAATTGTTCTGTCGAGTCACTTTTTGTACAACTCACACTGTTATAGAAAAGATCATACGTTGGCTGTTGGCATTAACTTGTGAAAGTGATTTATAGTCTTGGACTGGTTTTGGCAATGGAGTTTCTCTAAAATACGAATCCGTCAGGGGTTGTCTTACAAATTGATGATAAAACTCACAAACCGACAAATTTCCACAGAACTAAAACGTCCTTTGAATTCTCAGAGTTTTGTAAGTCTCTCCAACTCCTTTTTTGTGGAATATGAAAATATGTTTGTACAATTTAGGGTAATTAGTTGAGAAACAATTAAAAAAAAACTAGTTTTATTGAAACTTATGTTCATATTTTTCATTTATGCACGTCGGTTAATCTTGAGTGAACTAATTCCCAAACCAACATCATGTGGTATGGTTTCAACACATGCATACGTGTGAAGGTTCATAGCCAGAAGTATTCTGTGAACTTAAAATCTGTTTGATGATATTGGCAGAACCAAAGTCAAAGTTGAAACAAAAGTACGTACAAGTTAGAACAAAAGTGAGAACAAACATATGAGTTAGGATGTAGTACGTATCCGCACTAAAGAGATGCTTATATTTGAACAAACCATATCAAATCTATCGATGGATCTACCTAGCAAAACCTTATGTGTTCTTGTTTTTCCATCGTTGAGTAAAATTATAATGAACATATATATGACTCTTTATGAATTCTTATCTCTTCATTATTTTCTTCAGAACTTTAATAGAAAAAAAAAAAAGACACCCTCGAATGAGACTATTCCTCACATTTGTTGTGTGCAGAACAGTCATATATCAAACTTTTATATCACGAAGACAAAAAATCATCAAAGCTGTGAAATAAATTCATATTTGTTAGCCACACAGCCTAACATAAATCTCAAATTCCAAAGAAAAACTAGTGTAAGGAAATCAAAGAAGAGCCATGCATGATTTAATGTTGTCGATATATATGAAAAAAAAAAAAAAAAATTGATACCTTTTGGTCGTGCCCTACTGATCATCAACAGTGACAACAGCCAATAAATATTGAACAATAAACTTATTATACATGCAAATTGGTACGTGCGACCCACTTGGAAAAGCATGTCGGGCAAACATCGAAGCTGAACCGGCTACATCGTACAAACTAAACCATTCATTTTGAAGAAAAGTGTCATAAGATGCTTGAAGAAAAAATAGAAGAACAAATGTTATGTTGAAGTTTAACATTTGTGATGAGACCCTAAACTACCACAAGTGCATGAGAATCAAAGTAGTTTTATAATTAAGTGTGGAACCACAAGAAATTGGTAACAATACATATATATGAGACACTAATTTTTTTTTTTTTGAACTATGAGACACTACTTAAGAACACAAGTATTTTTGGGTTTTTGAAAATAAACTCATTAATCTTGAATATATATATATATAGATACTAAGCAAAAACAACAAGCAAATCAAAGACAAGCTAAATAAAAGCAAAGGTTAACACTTATGTAAGGCAAACAAATAATAAACGATGAGAAAATATAGATCATGAAGAAAACAGTTGACGCTAATAGACTACAAACTGAAATATCACGATACTAGAAACATACAATCACTCAATTTAAACTAACTTATTTTCATAATCTTATAATTCTCTATTGATTACCTAATTAAGCTAAACTATATATATATAGTTCACTATAAACCAGTCTATTTGGTCACTAATCATCTTTATCAATAATTATCATGTACTAGTCATCGTAAAGACATTATATTAATCGTACTATAGCTATACCATTCACCCCTCATCAAATTATCAATTCCTAATTAACAATTTAACACTAGTTCGCAAACAAATCTAATTTTATTCAAGTAATCATGCATCAAAATGTTCTTGCAGAGCTTCACCTCAATCCAACCTCGTTTGCCAAACCAAACTATGCAACTTGTCATAATTAATTTACCATAAATCAAGAAATAACCGTTGGATATTTAGATACTATATAGTACCATGAAGCTCGTCACCAAATTTTGTCCCAATCCGAATACTCTCGGACCTCAAAATGTGTTCTTCTCTGAGCTGCCTCGGCTTTGTTCCTTCACCACCAATGAGACTTACCACGGTCACAACATGATTAATAAAGTCCCACAAATCGTGGATTCCACCATCACTGTGACTTCTCATCTACCATCTATGCGCGCACACACAATACTTGCCAAAACCTTTTTTTTTTCGCTTTGTTCTAAAAGAGATTGGACCTTATATACATGGGCTCCAATACAATGCCAAAACAAAAATAGGCCTATGTTATGGGAGTGGGGTGTTACAATTTTTCTTCTACTAGTTAGCAATTAATTAATTATTGCTATTTCTATATAGAACGTATGAATAACAAAGAATTTCTATAACATATGAATAACAAAGAAAATCCTATTGAACATTTTCTATCTCTGGTTTTTTAGAGAGAATTACACTAAAGGTCACTTTAAAGTTAAGATATATGGAAAAGGTCATAATATAAGAGCATGTCCAATGGTGGTATGTTATTAAAATTTCTTAGTAATTTTTTAATAATAAATTGTGTAACTTATTAATATCAAATAATTATATACTTCTTTATATAAAAGTATCTTATAAATCATATAAAACTTTCTAATTTTTCATATTTAAACATGAGTAGTTTTTAAAATGGATAGATAAAAGAGGTATTTTTTTAAAAGAAGTACACCAAAAGGAGTATTTCTCAAAAATTCTAATGATTGTTTGGGGTAATTTTTTTTTTTCTTAAACTCTCTTGTACCAACACGTGTCCCTAACAAACTATCTCAAAACTTCTTAATTAAGAGATATATCTTAGCTTTATATTGATTATTGATTTATTTTTTCCCTTTTTATTTTTAAGATACAAGTTAACAAAACGTGCATTAGACATGGTCTAAGCTTCTCAAGTTTTTGCTACTGTTTGCACCCATATAAGAGGAAACTACCCTAATAAAGTGAAACCAAATAAATGTTGAACAATTGTTTGGTAACTAAATGTTATGTTTCATTGGATAAAGCGAAAAACATAGGGCTAACCCAGGAGAAGGGGAAATAGTTGGAACAGCTCTCGTTGATAAATTGTTCTATTGCTTTTTAATTGGTTTGTTTTGGTTTTCTCATCTCTTTTTTTTTTTCTTTTTCTTTTTACTTTTTGTTGCTGTCACTTTAACTTATTAATATCAAATAATTATATACAATTTATTATGATTATTTTTCCTCTATATTTTAAGATACATTTTTTTATATTTCAGATAAATTTGTTTTATTTAATATTGTCCATTTGTAGTTGAACATATGTTCACGTGGATATCAAGTGCAGTATCATTTATATACACTTACTTGTGTTTAGTCATTTTCTGAAAAATGAACAAAAGAGCCCTATAGATGTCCATTAAACAGAGAACATCATAAAACATCCATATCAATATGACTTTATTGTGAAGAACCCATTACGTATGCATAGTCCATATATTAGAGTCCAATAAGAAAATTATATGTAAATATGGGTGTATAGTTTTATGTGAACAAAAGCGATTGGACATGCAATAACTTTAAATATGAATATGGGTGGATAACTTTATGTATACAAAGGGAGTTGGATTAAGTGTTCGTTTTTGGAAGGTAGATATCCATTATGTATAATACATTATCCATGGTATATTAGGGTTCATTAGGCACATACTATTGTGGTAAACGAAAGTACATAAATATGGACAAATCTATATGAATATATTATGAGTTAGTGCAAAAAAGAAGACCATTATTCAATTTGATAC